AATGCCCCAGATTTATAGCTTACATACATCACAAATCCTAACTGGCTAGAGTATACCGAAACTGCTGTACATCGATGAAATAATCTAGTCTGGATGGCAAAAATGTAATAAGCTAACAGGCAACTCAAACTCCTGGTTGAAGTGTATCGAGGCAAAGAAGGTGTCCGCCTGCTCGAAATTAATATGCTACACAACAGCTTCCCCAAAACGAAACTAGTAACTGTTGCCTTAATACATTACACGGTGATTGCTAACATTAATACTGCGTTGCCCTTCAATAGGATGACGACACAGAGACCGTGACGCTGATTAAGTGTATCCTCAGACACAAAATAGTGACATGGGCGCGCACACACACAGTTAACACTACGCTGCAGCGCGCACGCCATGCTGCGCTACGTAAATAACTGCAGCTCTCACCAGGTGGCGCCGGTAATCATCATGGAGAGAACAGACGCTTTTCTAACAATAGAACGGGCACTAGGACGACGGAGACACTGAAGGTAGTCACGGCCACACGCCATGAGTGTCACCTAGGTTACAATGATAGGCAGGGGCAGAATGTGCATCCGCCGTCCATTGATTTAATGTGATGCCACCAGGGGGCACCCCCTCGTCAGGCAGCGGAGCAGCACCACACGCCCCGCAATCGTTATTCTTGTATTCCGCCGCGTGCAGCAGGGATTTCTTGTATTCCACACTCCCCTCTCGTGCGCTCATGCTGGCCCCACCTCAGTCGCTACCACCCTCTCTCTCGCTGGCCCCACCTCAGTCGCTACCACCCTCTCTCTTGCTGGCCCCACCTCAGTCGCTACCACCCTCTCTCTCGCTGGCCCCACCTCAGTCGCTACCACCCTCTCTCTCGCTGGCCCCACCTCAGTCGCTACCATCCTCTCTCTCGCTGGCCCAACCTCGGTCGCTACCACCCTCTCTCTCGCTCACATCCACTCTGTCTCTCCCCCTCCATCTTTTTCACTTCGCTCTCTCTCACTCTCTCCCTCGTCGTATACACGCCATGTATGCACGCGCGCACTCTCGCTCTCCCATTCCGATATCACTTATTGCCGTTGAGTCAGTTGTACATGTGAAGGTGCGACAGTGTTGGTGCAGCAGTGAAGAAGTTAATATACTCTATACTGCGTTAGAAGCAAGAAGAAGAACGAAGTTAATATATATATTGCATACTGCATTAGAAGCAAGAAGAAGAAAGAAGTTGATATATTG